CGCACACCCACACACACGCACACGCGCGCACACGCACACACACACACACACACACACATGCACACACACAATAATCAGTCATGACAATCAAACTTCAATGAAGTTTAACAAAGGACGTTAAGTGAAAAAACACGATATATTATTTAAACTCTGATGTATTTATTTATTGATCATGGTTGTACAGTATCTGTTGTACAGTAATTTATTAAAGCTGATTATAATTAAAAAAGAAAAATAGAATCATTCTACATTGATGAGAATAATTAATTTAGATCTGTTTTTTCAGTGTGACGGAAAAGAGCAAATACATCTGATGTAAATACAGACGAAGAGAAAAGACCAATCACAGTCCAGTATGCAAATATCACGATGACATCATCAGCGTCAGTAAACCAGTGCTGAATAATCAGTGGGCTGCACGACTTATATTGCGATATGACATTTTACATCGCTGCTGCAGAGACAAAAGTTCACTAAAGTGAAGCTAGTGCACATTACAATCTCAAAACACGTTCATGAGAATCAGCGTTTACTGTGAAGCGCTCTGAAAACGATCATGACTGATGATTTTGTATCATGATTTTGTAAGATCTATCACTATTTCAGCTCTTGTTTGAGCCCCATTTGTTTCTTTTAATGTTACACTCGCTTCCATTAATTTTTATCTTTATATCAACTCTGTGTAACCGGAGATATTTTCAGCTCTTTCACACAAACAGAAGTCAAAGCCTGAGCGTGTTTGGATGCACATGTACATACTCTGCTCCACTTCAGGCTTCAAGCGCTTGTTCTTGATGAGTATTTTGCGCTTGAGGTCGCTGGGCGATGGCAGCGGCTGCCCGGCTTCGATCTGAAACACAAGCACAGTCCTCCGTGAGCACAGAAACTCCTGCGTGGTGCCCGCAAACACCCATGAGAAAAGAGGAGATGCTTCACTGGACTACATTTTCCATGAAGGTCTGGATCTGTGTGCGGGGGAATAGATCACGTACTGGGAATCCCTCCAGCGGCTGCTTCAGCAACAGCTCTCCGAAGATCTCCTCGCAGTACTTGGCCATCTTATACTGCTGCGTTTTACTGCAACACACACACACACGCAGCTGTGAGCGCCGCCACAGACCAACACGAGGCTGAGAGCGTTTTACCTGCAGTGGTTCTCAAACGACAGAATGACAGGATATTCAGACGTTACAAACGCCGTGTCCTTTATGGCTTGAATTACATCCTGTTACACAAACAAGCAAACAAACAAACAAACAAACAAACAAACAAACAGACACAAGAAAAGCAGAATGTGTCAAATTACCAAAAACATCATGTATCACTGCAAAACCCTGCAATCGTGATATAGGTATTATTCCTGGAAATTCAAATAAAAATGGTTTATATATTAAATAAAGATGCCTGGAAATAAATACACAGAAGAAAGCTGCTTCAGATCACTTGATTAATTTCAAAAGATCAGATTATTCACATGAAATGAATGAATCAGTCAAAAAAACAGAAAAACAGATTCAGTTTAGACTCTGATTCTGAATGGATGAGACGCATGCAAATCAACAAAAAATTTCAAACAGCATTTGTCTCTTTTGCTACTTAAAACTAAGCGCATAAAGATCGTTGATGCATGTTCTGGGATCAGTGCGCAGCTGCAGTAGACGCAGTTTGATTTGCACTCACTTTGAACAAGATGTCGGTGCACATGGCCTTTCCATGAGTGATGATGGGCTCCTGATCCTCACCTTTACCGTCCCAGCAGTCCAGCTCCACGCACCTGACACACACACACACACACACACACACTCACACAGAGACACGCACAGACACAGACACACACAGACACAGACACAGTCACACACTCACACAGAGACACACTCACACAGAGACACACACACTCACAGAGACACGCAGACACAGACACACACAGACACAGACACACACAGACACAGACACACACAGACACAGACACAGACACAGACACAGACAGACACACACACACACTCACACAGAGACACACACACTCACAGAGACACGCACAGACACAGACACAGACACAGACACACAGAGACACACACAGACACACACCCACTAGCATTAAAGGGACGTCACGCTGAACACTGAACAGACGAGAGCAAACGTGAGCGAATGCAGCTTTCCATGCACGCTCTCTCGTGTCATGATTAATCACGGTAACGACAGTAAAGTGAGAAGCTGATGCAGGCAGATTGAGATTCAGACACAGGTGTGTCAGCGACAGGAGCGGACGCTAGTTACTTCTTTGCAGTGACGCTCAGGAGGCTGAGAGCATACCTGCATCCAGACAGCAGCACCTGTCGGTACATCTCCACCGAGGACTTCCCGCCGAACTGCCGGCCCGTCAGGTAGGTGTTGTGTGAGGAGCTGATCAAGTAATGAGCCAGCGGATGCTCCATCTCCTGACACAGATCCAGACGGTCCAGAAACACCGGCGCATTCTCGTCTGACATCAGGTAGCGGCAGAAGCCATCGCTGGACATGTGACCTGAAGACAAGATGATCAGGTGAGAGCGTGAAGCTCGTGCCGCTGATGCATCAGTTTATCATGAACTCGTTTCATCTACAGTTCCTGCAGTTTCCAGTCCAAAGCTACACTTTCTCAGACTCTGTAGATCAGGGTACATTTAAAACTTTTTGAGACCAAGTAAAGAAAATTCAAGGAATAAACCGAATTGAACCAAATACATCAATATGGTCATTAGATGTGAATGTCTTATATTAGCAACGCTTCAAAGTTTGAAAATACAAATTCCATCAGATCTCCATTACTCTGAATTCATTTAGACAAAAAATGTGAATCTCTAAACATCCTTAAATCAAGACACATTTACTTCAGAAGCAAGAACAAGATATAAAGTCTCGTTTTCAGTGTAATTAATATAAAATAAAGCAATAAGACCACAGATTCGGTTAAAATCATTTTTTTTGTATGTTGTAATAATTGGAATATTGTAACTACATGCTGTAGCTCATACAAATCCATTAAAACCAAACTCAGTCGAGTTATATGTGCAGCGTTTTATTAATGCTTGTATGATAAATGTATTTTTATAAATTTTCAATGTCATATTTTAGAATTTGGGCAATAATCTAGAAACACAAACATTTTTCCATACTCTGTTTCCTGCTTATCCTGACCTGGAAATGTCTTCAGATCCAGTGTTTCAGGAGCGCGTGCTGACGCCGCCTGACCACTAGAGGGCAGCAGATGATCAGCCATCGGTCCGGTAATTAAACACTCATCACACCCCCTCTATTTACCTTTCTTTTTCAAGTCGGCGTCTCTCTCGTACTTCTCAATGATCTGCATGACTCGTTTGGCTTCATAAAAGGGGAAGAGGATCTCGTTGAGTCGAGGGTCCCGCTGGTTCTACAGGGAAAACAAAGATCTGAAATGAGGAAGGATTCGTGCTCAGAGACGCATCTCAACGTCTTTATGAGCTCGTGAAACTACAGCCCTCGCAGAATCCACAGATGCATTTTTTACCCTTATGAGGGCAGATTTTTCCAAACCACATAAAACACAGCACATCCTCACTTCAAATAACTCGTATTGAAGCAAACGGAACGAGAACAGCATCTGATGTTAGATAACAGATGAGCATCAGGCCAGTTTACTCACATTCTGAGCTTCATTTCTGCCCTGCTAGAACATCACTAACTAGTTCACAAACAGTGCCGTGTCTGTGCGTTAAGAGAGTTTGTGTTCAGCAGACAAACAAGCGTGAGACTGGCTGCACAAGACGAGCAAATAAAGCCCAACAAACACAAGCACGACCCACGGCAACACGCTCGGATCCACATGCAGCGTGACCCACACGCGTGTGCCTGCAAACACATGAACACAAACACAGGAAGCCGACAGACATGCAGACACACACACACACAGTTAATGATGATAAAGAGCTTACTTCATTCAGAAAGCTGACTAACTGCTCTAAGGTTAAATAATCACTTTTGTCTCCGTTGCTGCAAAGAAATTGAGCAGAAAAGATTTGGTTTGGTTATAATAACATTAGAGAGAGAGAGAGAGAAAGTTAGACATCACAAAGCATCTGTACGACACCCGTCTGACGCTCTATAATCTGTTAGTCAAACACACGGGTTAATGTTGAACTGCTGAAGCCGTTAGGAGTCTGTCTCATAGTTAGTGCTCCAATGCTGGCTCTGAAGTACTAGTTAACCGCGAGGAGTGAACAGCAGCAGGTGTGATGTGGACGTACATCTTCTTGAAGAGCTCCTCGATGTCCGTGCGAGGGCAGATCTTCTGCGTCAGAGCGTAGAAGATGTCGAAGGTGAAGGCCGAATGCTCGATTTCATCATTCTGCAACACAAAACCAAATCAAGCAGGTTCAGCATGACACTTATTTAACTTCTGCAACGTGACAGGAACAGGATATTCAGCTAAAGTAGGACGAGATGTGGTTTGATCCGTGAGGGACTGATGGGACGATGGGACGCTGAACGAGGGTTTGCACAGAAATCCTGCTTTTAACCAGTCTTTGAGTCTCATTTTCCAGCTGAAAACCACGGAAAACTCAATCAATCATCTGTTTACAGTGAATCTGTCTCCAATAAAATAAGTAATTTTTTACTGCGCTGGCAGGGTATTAAAACTAAACAGTTTTTTCAATGGTTTTTAAATGTTTTAACTGGAAAATAAGTCAAAAAGTCTCATTGGTTCACATCTTGAAAAGCGACTCAATAACCTGGTTACACAGAACTACTAAAACTAAACTGAAAACTGAAAAAATAAAAGGTAATTCAACATGTCAATAAATCCTATAATTGTACATAAAACAACGAAACACTAAATACATAAAATACTAAAATATAGTACGAAATAAGTAATAAATAAAACAAATAAATATATAAAATAACACTTCTTTCATGGCACGATGACATGAGCTGAAAGTCAAAGACGTGTTTCTCTTTAAAAACACATGACTGATAATTCGCTCACAATAAGAGCAGGATCATGAATTAAGACTCTTTCTGATTTCCATAACAATATAAATGTGTAACAGTCTGACCTTCCCGCTGGGGAGACCGAGCTCCTTCAGCGCCTGGAAGATTCCCTTCTCTGTTTTACCCGAGCCGAACGTCCGTGTTATGCTGCACGAGACAAGACGAGATGATCAGATCAGATCGGTCGAAACATCAAAGAATAAAGAGAAGATCCAGAGGAATCAAACACTCACCATCGGACCGGGATTTTGCCGTTGACATTTGTTACGAAGGAGAGTCTCATCCAACTAGACAGAAAGACAGAGAAAGTTCAAGAAGACAAACATCTGATGGATCCTGCTGATTCTAGTCTGGTTAGAACAGATCTCCAACTGATCTCCAGCAGATCTCAAACAGATCTCTAACAGATCTCCAGCAGATCTCTAACTGATCTCCAGCAGATCTCTAACTGATCTTCAACAGATCTCCAACAGATCTCCAACAGATCTTGAAATGATCTCAAACTGATATGCAACTGATCTCTAACAGATTTCCAACTGATCTTCAACAGATCTCCAGCAGATCTCAAAATGATCTTGAAATGATCTCAAACTGATCTCTAACAGATTTCCAACATATCTCCAGCAGATCTCCAACTGATCTCAAACAGATCTTCAACAGATCTCTAACAGATCTCCAGCAGATCTCAAACTGATCTCTAACAGATCTCCAACTGATCTCCAACTGATCTCAAACAGATCTCCAGCAGATCTCGATTCAGGGTCTGTTTACCACTATAAACGTGCACACATAGATGTGAGTCATTCAGTAGTTTGAGCGTTGAGTCGTCTACTTACTGCTTCTTCAGACACGTCATTGGACACACGTTATTCGCCTTGAAGTTGTGAATCACTGATTTCAGGCCTTCCATCCATTTCTGCACAAAAACAAGCAATCATACATGAGAAGAGGTAAACACGTTTTGTAGTAGTTTACGATCAATGGTCAGACTGAGATTCATATTTTAATCATACAGGAGACACTTTGAATGATTCACGTCTGAAGAAGCTCACGAATCAGGGACAAATCTGACTATTAGATCAGCTACATTAACTATTATCTAGCATTAACTAACTTAAACACATGACGTGTCTGTAAATCTGTTAAGTTTTCAAACCTCAAATGACATAAACATAAAATGAAGCAGCTCATTTAAGACTCAGTTTGAGCTTGTTTGATGTGGATGAACAAAAATGACTCGTTTCACTCTGATTCAGTGTCTGATTCAATCACACAACAGAATATTACTGAATATGACAGAACATTTGGAAGAGTTAAGGTTGGTTGGCGATTCATGTGGTTTAATGAGAAACTCCTGAGGTTTGCAGTACTGATCTCTGCTGCTGCTCCATCAGCCGGTTTACACGCGTGCCGCACTGACCGGTCAAACGCGTCGCCGTGGTAACGCTCACCTTGGCCGTATCCGTGTTGTCCGTCACCATGTACATGAAGCTGAGGTTGACCAGGTCCGGCCCACTGCAGACGCAGATGATGCGACCGTCCAGATCCGCCTCGCTCTTCCCCGCCGCTTCCAGAGACGCCAGGATCTTCGGGTCCTTCAGGAACAAAAACACGCGACACGCAAACATCAACTCAACACGTTAGTACCGGTTCAGTTCATGCAGAAACACGGGATGACTTACAATAACCTTTATAACAGATCAACACGGTAAACTATAAGATGGACGTTGAAGCTGTTTGCGTGTTTACATTCCCAGACAGTCACGCTTGTGTCCGATTCATTTAAAGCCATAGTTCAGCCAAAAATGAAAATTCTGTCATCATTTATTCAAGTTCAATTCAAGTTTATTTGTATAGCACTTTTCACAATACAAATCGTTGCAAAGCAGCTTTACAGAAAATTATGTTTCTACAATATTTAGTGGTAGCTTATCAGTGGTGACTGTCAGTTAATGTACATATGGCGGAAATGTACGGAAAAATCAATTAAAGACATAATCAAACAGACGATGAACACTATTAACAGCAATTATTATATGATGCAATCACACTTATAGCAAAATTTGGTAGTTCTGTATGTTGTTTCAGGGCTGGTCAAGTTGTTATAAACCTGTATGAGTTTCTTTCTTCTGCTGAACACAAAGAAGATATTTTGAAGAATATTTTGAAGAAAGCCATTGACTTCTATAGTATGGAGAAAATATAATGGAAGTCAATGGGGACCACAAACTGTTTGGTACATTCTTCAAAATATCTTTAAAACATGAAAGAAACTCATACAGGTTTGGAACAACTTGAGTAAATTAAGACAGAATTGTCATTTTTGGACGAACTATCGCTTTAATGATGTTTAAGGAACATCAGCTCATGATGAACGATTCAACCCTGAACTGATCAGTGTGAGATTCAGCAGCGGAATAATTCAACTGAATAAAAATGACCCATATTTTCACACATCATTGGACAAAGTAGTTAACAAACATCCATCTGAATGTCTGTTTTTGTGCCAGCAGCACTGTGCTCACGGCTCGATTCCCAGAGAAACATATGAAGCGATAAACTGATCAGAGTAAACGTGTCTGCAGACGTGGCTGAACACACATCACCTCCTGCTTAACAAACAGCTGAAGCGGGTTACCATCAGGTCCTGTAAACATGAGCCGCCTCCACAAACACGTTCCTGCTGTGAACACCTGACCGCAGAAGACAAACACTGCAGCCACACACACACCAGTCAATATTTGACACAAACACTGAATGTGAAAGATAATCTCTGACTGTCAATAACACTCGAGAGCAGAAGTAAAGCAAACAGTAACGCCTCGACGGCTCTCTGTCCATCATCACGTGTCCCGTCAGCTCATGTGATGCGTCTAATGCACCTGCAGACAGAACGACTCGAAACTGTCTGAACGGTTTAATGCCTCATCTTCATCACAGTAACTGTAAATCTGACTAACAGTAACCTAACTAAACTCTTCAGCATGTGAGACTCTGTCAGCAGTGATCGATTCAAGTGTTTGTTTGGACGATTCATTTCAGTTCAAACAGGAGCATCTTTACCTTCGGCACGACTCCGGGACGGACGCTGTTGATCAGAGAACTTTCTAGAAGCTGACCTTCCTGCGAGAGAGACAAATACTGCGATTAGGACAGTTCAAAGCAGAATCACAGTTCATGATCGCTGACTGATGAGCCTGATTTCATTCATTTATAAAGGTGAATATGAATAATAATCAAGCCAAAGTTCTGCTGATGAGACGTTTTTCTTTCAGAAACAGAAACTGAATGTCAGTGACTGACTATACATAAAACACACACACACACACACTCACTCACACACACACACACACACACATCACACTGGCTCACGCTCACTCGCTCACTCTCACACTCACTCTCACTCTCACACTCACTCTCACTCTCACACTCACTCTCACCCTCACTCTCACCCTCACACACACACTCTCACACACACTCTCACACACTCACACTCTCACTCACACTGGCTCACGCTCACTCGCTCACTCTCACACTCACTCTCACTCTCACACTCACTCTCACTCTCACACTCACTCTCACCCTCACTCTCACCCTCACACACACACTCTCACACACACTCTCACACACTCACACTCTCACTCACACTGGCTCACGCTCACTCGCTCACTCTCACACTCACTCTCACTCTCACACTCACTCTCACTCTCACACTCACTCTCACCCTCACTCTCACCCTCACACACACACTCTCACACACTCACACTCTCACTCACTCTCACTCTCACACACACTCTCACTCTCACACTCTCACACACACTCTCACTCTCACACTCACACACACACACACACACTCTCACACACACACACACAGTGCTTTATAATATTTGAAAACACAGACACAATCATCAAACGTTGAACTGAATAAGAATTTCACACGGTTATAATTTAAGTTTTCAAACACATTCTATGATGACAGCGAAGGGAAGATCAGAGCCGTAAACGCTGAGATGTGTGTGATGTGCGTCTGCATCGGCTGCATCCATGAAAATAAATCACACCTTTCCGTCACTTTTCCACGTGAGAAAGAAGCCAAACTCGTCGACTTTGAAATGGCAGCTGGGCTCAAAGACGAAGGGATCCTGAAAAACACAGTGGAGGATGAACGGCGTTACTGACGACAGACACACACCGTTAAAACGGGAACATTTCCGAGAATGCACACGCTGACCGACATCACCTGCTCTTACTGCAGAATCAGGCCTCATGTGCGTCTGAAGAGTGTGACGTCTAAAAACAGATCTTAACACAGCAGGAGCCGCGTCTGAAGAAATATAACACACACCGGAGAGACGGAGACTCCGCTAGTGTTTACTAAAACTGATTTTCTTACAGAGTCTTACAGTCTGGAGTCGACACCAGCTGCTGAAAGTCAGTCTGCAGATTCAGAAAACATAATGTAGCATATTCCAGGTAACAAAATTAGGTCATAAAAATGTTATGGGAACATTGTTTTGAAATGTTTCTGAAAAGTTTTCTTGTCGAGATTATTTAAAGGTTACAAAAATATTTCTTGCAACGTTTACTAACTCTATTTTCACCCACATTTTAGAAGCCTGAGCATTTAAAGCGGCAAATGGCAAAACTCGTTGATAAAAAACACCGCTTTCATGCGTTGAGGTAGACGCTAGTACAGTTATCGTTATAGTCACTGTAGTTATGCTTCATCTGGAGTATGACAGCTGGTTTTAATCTGTAACCATTTACTGTGATGCAGTAAAACCTGATCAGATTTTAAAGTCAAGTTTATGTCAATATTTTGGCTTTCAGAATCACGATTCATCCATACAGTTAATTGACTCCTGATTCCTGACGCCACAGAATCGACTCTGATTGAGCAAAAACACATGAACGCGTCGTTCCCGAGTTTGGCAGTAAAAATCTTAAAGTCCACATAAAAGCGTCGTGATTTGAGCGAACACCCGCGGGCTCAGCTAATGAGTTCACTGTGAACGCCCTCCAACAATCGGACGGAGCCAAGATGGCCGCCAGCAGCACAGTTTCACCGTCTGTTGTTCTGTAGGATCTGGCTGAACCGTAACTGCTCTCCATGAGACTCCCTCTTATTCACAAACTAGTTCCTGTGCAATACATCTGCCGCATTAATCAAGACACTGCAGGGCCGTTCAGTTAACGAGAGCATGCGACGGCAAACAGATGAGCGATGAGTCGCACGAACAGCGGAGTTACCCAGAATCCCTCTGATGAGTTTCTGTGGATGTTTACGTGCAGCTTGCAGAGCCATTTCAGCTCCTGCAAGAGCCTGATTGAGTTACACAAGAGCAGGGAGTGTGTGTGTGTGTGTGAGAGAGAGAGAGAGAGATAGTGTGTGTGTATGTGCGTGTGTGTGTGTGTGTGTGTGTGTGTGTGTGTGTGTGTGTGTGTGTGTGTGTGTGTGTGTGTGTGTGTGTGTGTGTGAGCGTGTGTGTGTGTGTATTCAGTGGGGACCTAAATTGAGGTCCCCACTGGTAAACAAGCTAATAAATCACACAGAATGAAGTTTTTTGAAAATCTAAAAATGCAGAAAGTTTCCTGTGAGGGGTAGGTTTAGGGGTAGGGTTGGTGTAGGGCAATAGAAAATACGGTTTGTACAGTATAAAAACCATTACGCCTATGGAGAGTCCCCACAAGGATAGCAAACCAGACATGTGTGTGTGTGTGTGTGTGTGAGAGAGAGAGTGTGTGTGTGTGTGTGTGAGTGTGTGAGAGTGTGAGTGTGAGTGTGTTTACCTCATCGAATCGGTCAAACACAGCTCCTTCCTGCAGGAAGTCAGGAACGTGTTTCTGCCAGTTGAACTCGTATGATTTGGTCATGACTGCTCACAGACCTGAAACACACACACACACACACACACACACATGATGGAAACACAACCACATCTCTGTCTTTACAGATATTCAGACTTAATAAATTAATAATTCTCTAGTGACATGAACACATGTAGCAGCGGACAGCAGCTTCCTGCCAGACACTGAATGTTATAAATAAACCGCTGATATGCCACAGAGCTTATAAATATTCTATCAGCTCATTAATATTCACGAGATGTGCTGCATATTCAAACATATTAAACAGAAGCAGTTTGGAAATCATGATCATGACGTGATGTGCGTCAAATTGTGATTACAGTCTGATTACAGCAGAGGATGATGGGAAATATTAAGCGCAGCACAGCCGTAATTCATAAACTGGTTAAATAAATCGCATTTACTGGTGAGATTCATCGCTGCTCCTCATCAAAACGAACCGAAGAGTTTCAAACTAATGACATGTTCTGCATTGATGTTCATCTCACAGTCAAATAATGCAGCGAATAGTTGAACATCTCTAACTACTACTACTGACTACTAGTCAGGAACCCAAACTATTCTGGTTCAAGTTGATGCGGTCACCGATCAGCCGTGAAGCGCAGCACGTTCTAACACGCGAGTTAGTGGAGCAGCTGATGCGGAGATAATTATCCATCCCTGAAAGGCAGCGCAATCCCCTGTTACCGCCGGTTTAAAACGGCAGCGAGGGTAATTACCCAAAGGCCCCTGCTTCATAAGCACGCTCAAATTAATGAGTGACGCAGCCACAATGCAGAGGACATGCGGCGCAGGAGCTGCGGAAAACCTGGAAGATGATGACACCTGTCAATCAAACACATCAAAGATCAGATCATATCAGCTTCAACTTCAATCTAACTCATCATGTGTCTGAGTGTGTGTGTGTGAGTGAGTGAGTGTGTGTGTGTGTGTATGTGTGTACATACGTACAAGTATACACTTCAAAGAAAATGCTGTGCATCAAAACATGGTTAAATATTTGGTGAAATCTTACATTGAATAAATAACTTTAATATTCATCTTTCAGTTCATTTAATAATTTACTTTTTTATAAGTTTTTATATCAACTTACGGTTCCACTCCAGTGTGTTGTTATAGACATTTAAATTGTGTCTGTAATAACTTTTGTCATAACGTTTAATTAAATCAATTACACCGATCACATTAAAGAGCCACAAATACACATTCATTGATTGAATTTAGTAATAAAACTGACAGAATTTGAAAACCGAGACTGTTTCATATCAAAAGTAGCAAAGCTTTATAACAAACTTTAGGTGGGAGATTCATTACAAATAATGTTTAGTGAAGATTTATTCGTGCATCAACTGAAAACATTATAGACTAATAATAATAATAATTAATAATCATTCTGGCAACAGCTAAAACTGCGCATTAATGCCCGTCTGAACTGCTGCATCATTGGTTTTATCCCTTTTGATTAATGTTTGTCTGCATGTTCATTTCAGAGCTGATGGAGGTGAAAGAGGAACCTCAGTATCAGAGAAGCGGACATGAATCTTTAAATGGCTCACAGACGGTAAAGAGTTTGTCACGAAACAGAAGATCTAAATCCTCTCTCACCTGCCCTCAATGTGGAAAGAGTTTCACGCAAACGAGTCACCTCAAGGCTCACATAAGGACTCACACCGGAGAGAAGCCGTTCACCTGCCATCAGTGTGGAAAGAGCTTCACACAGAAAGGAAACCTTAAGGATCACGTACGGATTCACACCGGAGAGAAACCCTTCACGTGCCATCAGTGCGGGATGAGCTTCACCTATAAAAGAAGCCTGAGTGATCACATAGGCATTCACACCGGAGCGAGTCCGTTCACCTGCCCGCAGTGTGGGAACAGATTCACTCATAAAAGTGACCTGAAGAGACACGGAAGGATTCACACCGGAGAGCGGCCTCACACCTGTCACCGGTGTCCAAAGAGCTTCACTCGGAAAGAGCATCTGAAGACGCACACAAGGATCCACACCCAAGAAAACCCTTACATCTGCTCTCAGTGTGGAAGGACCTTCAAACATCTGAGTAACATAACAAGACATATGACAGTCCATACAGAGATAAAACTGCACCACTGATCACAGAAGGTCTCATTTCATCTAAAATCTAAATACAGCGAGTGCATTTTTTATTTTTTTATATATCACTAACTTTATTTTTAGAAATCATATCTAGCAGTCTGTGATTGAGAGAGAGACACAGGACAAGAGATTTTTATATACTAAACATCTTTTTGCATGTTATATTAAAATTTTAACATCGGATATCAGATGCTCGGATCGTGAGGAATCAATTGTCATTGATATTTTGACATAAGAGTTTAATGTATTCTAACAACAGAACATCCTTCTCACTGCAAAAAGCATTTAGTATTGTTCTGTCGATGTACTTTAATTTGCATATCCCATCATCAGTAGATTATTTTGTGTATACTGTAAATACTGTGTACAGTATGTATTATGTGTATACTGTGTTCAGTATTCTGTGTATTGTGTGTATTGTATGCAGCCTGACTGCACTGCGGTGTGGATAGTTCATGCACACACAGATTTTTACACACTGTAGCACAATACATTGATCTGATTTGATTACAGATCTGCCTGCTCTCTTATATATAAGAAACATATTTCAAATTGGCAAATGTGTATTTTATTTTGCCAATTCATTTTGTTATTTTGATAAGGTAAATGACATGATTTTGCTTCTGTATTGAATACAAAATGTGCTTAACACAATGACATAAATCAACAAGAAACTGACAAAGAGGGCACATAGCAGACACATCAGAACCCAATTAAATCCAGACTTACAAATGTGAGTGAGTGAGTGTGTGTGTGTGTGTGTGTGTGTGTGTGTGTGTGTGTGTGTGTGT